GCCATCTGGACATTATAGTACTATCATATTATTTAATTAGAACCAGATAAATTAGGTAAGAAAAAAATTCCAACAATTATATGGCTAGCTAATAAATATAATTTCATGGTATTCTGTAGCTATCCCAAAGTGTTAATTGTAACAGGAGCAGTTAAATTCTTTGGCTATGAAAGCATGGCAGTTAAGACATGTATCACCTGGTAACCTTGGGCATTATTAAAATATATGGAGACTGAAAACATGGTACAAGCAATGGAAAAGTCCGACCAGACTGTGTAATTCGTTTTAGAATTATGGAGAAATCTATTAACCATTTCTTCTATAGACCAATTTGATTAGAAAGTAGGACAAGCTGTTCTTTCATTACTTACCAAAACCATACAGCAGTTTATATCAATTATTTGGCTGTCTGCTGCACATAGATTAGAATAAAGGGCTTTTTTAGTGTTTGTGAATGTTGTGGATTGCTGATTAGTAATTAAAATACTGAATGAAGGAAATTAGGCCAAGACTGAATGGGAACGAGAAAGTCCTAATTCTGTGATACAGATGTTAGAAACAGATTGTCTTGAGCAATGTAGTGACAATGGACATAGCCAGAGAGTGTTTGCTTCCCATGTCAACTCAAGTCGAATGCTTTTGAGTTGGTTTCCTCTCCCATGCCTTGTGATGTGGCTATATGGGTATTAATTTAGTGAAATATCCTGTCTGCCAGGTGTGGGAACTAGCTGATTTTATTGTAATACCAGATCATTACTTAATTCATATGCAACAGAGTACAGCACATGGAAAGCATTATAAATCTATTTACAATGTGGCTGGTCTGATGATAACATTGTATTAAATTCCCAGGTGAGGCAATTTAAGCAATTGCTTTGCCATGTGCACACCATGGAAATTAAATTCTTATATACGGTTTAGTAATAAACCAACTTCATTGTTATGTTTTTGCGTATGGTGTGTTGTAGAATCTTTACTTTGGCTATGTATAGCCAGTTCTATATATAGTATCATACAAGGCACAGTATCATAGATCTCAGTTTTTAATTAGTTTAAAATAATCCATTTTGTTTCTAATTTAGTGGTACCTGTCCACAGACCTTTTTAGCTCAATTGGAAAATGTTATGGCTCAAGGTCAAGTAGATTACTTCAAGCCCAGTTCCTAGACAGAACCAAATAAGTGTATCTGTTGAACTCGACTTTAAGAAAATCAGCCAATCAGTGTGCAAAAATCTTTTATATATATATATATATATATATATATGATTTATATATATATATATATAATATACTTTACATAAATGCACAATTAAAACTGAAGCACGCTTTTGTATTTAACAACCTTTGTGCATGCCTGTGTGTGAATTTGTGTATGTGGCAAATACTGTCAGTTGACACTTTTCCACCCTTATGGTGGAAAAACTGAATATTTCTTTGAGTTTATAATTCTTGCTTTTATATTCGTATTTGTCACTAGTTTAAAATAGCCATGGAAATTTTGCCTATCAAACTTGTTAGGGTTAATAATCAATTTCTGGTGTCATAATTTTTGTTCAGGTGTATTCTGTAGTGGTTGGAGCATCTAAGTCTAGCCCACTGAAGTACATAGAAGTTAGAAGAAACATACTTTACATAAATACACAACTAAAACTGAAGCATGCTTTTGTATTTAACAACCTTTGTGCGTGCCTGTGTGCGAATTTGTGTGTGTGGCAAATACTGTCAGTTGACACTTTTCCACCCTTATGGTATAGACCAGAAATTGCAGTAGATTACAAACTGCATGGAGCTTCTGTCTTCTCCAGGAGCCCCATATAAAGCACCAGCAGACAGTGGTAACTGACAACTAAGACTAAAAATGTTGACAATTTCTTGATTTGCCTGGTTAGCTTATGTATAGAAGTCATTAACTATTTATAAAATGCATTATGAATTGGGTTCCTTCAAACTGTATCTGAATGTGTGACATTTCCAGCTCAAATTCTCATCCTTGCATTTGGCTAAAGTACAGATTTTATGCTGTTGATAATAGAATAAAAATATTTTAGTTAGATTTATCAAGCTAAAATAGTGGTTTCAGTTTTATTAACTTTGAAACCTCAAAATTAAAGTATTATGTAGTAATATAAGTAATTGCTTAATTACATCTGGAAGAGCTACCCAGATGACCAGTTTTCTGCCATGCCAGTGGTAAAGAATGACATTTCTAGGGACCACCCTTCACTGTAGATGAACCCTTAGTTCTCCATTGCTGAGCATATATAGAACTTAATTGCTCGTTTTCAAAAAGCAGAGCATTCTATCCAAAAAAAGATTAGATATTCAGGTTACACATTTATAATTTTTTTTATTTTGAAGTACTACATTGAAATAAGAATATACTACAATTGAAAAATCTCTGCCAATTTGTTGCTATTTTGGTGAAAAAAGATGAAAACAAAAACAATCTCTATATGATGTTATTGCACACTGTGGAATGTTTTAGTCCCCCATAGTGATGAAATGAATAATTAAGAAGGCAGCTCTGATACCACAGCCTGTTTAAAGGTTCTCACTTCCTTTAAACAGGCTGCTATAAGATACTTTTTGCTTAGCTAGTCTGAAACTCCTATAGTGGGGATATCCAAATGGGCGAAAGAAAGCTTTGGCTTGATCTAAATGTTGTATTAAGAATATGAAATAGATTCCTGTAATTTAGCATTTTTAGTACAATTCTTGATCAGTCAATAGAAGTAGTTAATTAACAATAGCTTCAGTAAATAATAAGAGAAGTAGATTTAGGACGTGCTGTGTGTGGTACTAAAAACATCTGGTATCTTCACAAAGGAATATGTTGGGGAGATCTGATATAGTTGTTTTTCCCAATCTCAAGCTGATTGCCTAACTTCTCCAATTCCTTCTTTTCCCTGCAACACTGCTACTATTGCATTTATCTATCTACAGCCTTACTGCAGTTGCTGAGATACAAAATACGTATTTGTAGTAGGCAAGTAGGGTATGGGATGCAGATTCAGCTCCGAAAGGGTTTCCACTATTTCCTTTATACTGAGACATTCAGTAATTCTTGTGCCTTTCCCCTCCATGGTCTAGCAAATAATAGAACAGGGAGGAATTTTTATAAGGTAGAACGAGCACTCAACTGTGAGTCAGGACCCTACAGTTCTAGTCTCAGTTTAATCAGAACTATCTATAGAATTTCATGAAACTGACTTTTTCCATTTATGAAAAAGGGGTTATCTGTATGTGTGTGTTTTTATTGATGCTGCCTTAAGTCTTCTTAAACTGGTTGTGCTAGAGCCATAAGCCGAAGCCTTCATTATATATAATGAACTAAATTCTCTTTTGTGCTATCCTTGGGAGAATTGAGGTGATTTTCTGAGTTTTGGCTTGATAAGAAACCCAGTTGAGAAACACTATCTCTGTTAAGTGGTTTAAAGCTTACTGGTTGCTCTACGTCTAAGTTCCTCTTGAATTCCAGTATGATACGGTTTTATGCTTAGGATGTTATGATTTCCATGTGGTCAGGCAGTGCAGCTCACTCACTACTCACCAAAGTTAATGAAAATCTCACTGTTAACTTCTGCTCATGCATTAAAAGTAGTCCTTTTAAACTGTGATACTTTTTCAGATCACAGTTAAACAAGTAGTACCTTTATGTTCCAAACATAGACCCTAGTTGAGAAAAGGAATTATTCTTTCCTACCTGCCTTTAAAAAAAAAACAAAAACAAAAAACAAACAAACAAACAAACAAAAAAAAAAAACCTTGATGAGGGTGGTATTTTGGGAAGTTGGTACATGCACTTGACATATCTTAATCTGTTTCCTATTGCTCCCTCTCTCTTTCTGCCCCTTCTGCTCATCCGCTTCCCCATCACTTTTAATTGATCATTTTTACTTAATTAGTTCAGATGCAGAAAAGGCAACAAAAGTATTCACTTGTAAATCTGAATTTGGGTCTGAAGTATTAAAGATGAAGAAGGAACTGAGGACCACACTCTAGTTTTATGACTAATTGTCATAGACTCTTAGTGTTCTCAAGTGTGTACATATTTAGATAATTTGCCAATTGTTTGCTTTACAGACATTTCCCTCTGACTTTATAGGTAAGGATAGATTTCTTGTAAGACAAAATTACCATACATGAAATATTCACTCATAGTCCACTTGTCTTTATTTACTGGGATTGGGAAAGGTTGACTCAGAGCCCACTTTCATTTATTTCTGGGATTAGGAAGCTTAATTTGCTTCATCACACACACACACACACACACACACACACACACACACACACTCTCTCTCTCTCTGTCTCTCTCTCTCTCTCTCTCTCTCTCTCTCTCTCTCTCACACACACACACACACACACATAAGCACACAGACACAAAATCACTTCTATGCTTTTCCATAGGCTATATTTTAATTTATCATTTGCATGGGAGATGGGCTTTTAAATTCCCTATTTTTCTGGTTAGTAACATCAGAATAGTGAAAGAAATATAGATATATGTTAGTTGAGGCATTCTAGAGTAGAGTTAGAGATATAGATGTAAGTATTATCCTAGAATTAGATATTTTAAAAATCCTAAGTTGTATAGCTGATTTCCTGCTATAGTGTTAAAGACCCTCTATACTTCTGTGTTAATTTTAATCTCTGCTCCATAGATGAACAGCTATTTCACTGTATTTCTTTGAGTTTAGTGTTCTTATTCGAATGATGATGTGTCGAGTAATATACAAGTTCAGATCCCTTTATGAATGTGAATAAAATATTTACAGGATACAATATTTTTCATTATTGTCATTTTTGAAAACTTCTGATTTACACTAAACTTCTCAAGTTCAGGGAACTTTACACAACTTTGGTTTGTAAATTTTTGCCAATAGGTTTCCATTAGGGGGCTCTCGAGGTTTGAGATGATAAGCCTTGATACCAGTAATGCTTGGAAGCCTTTACTTTGTAACGTTCATCTCACTCTTTCCCTTTTTGTTTTGTTTTATAGAAAAGGTCACGGATCGCCTACAGTGACGAAGTACGGAATGAGCTCCTAGGGGATGATGGGAATTCCTCCGAGAACCAGGTAGAATGCTAATCAGGAAGGCCCGGTGGGTGGCTGGAGGGTGAAGGAGGTCACAGGCACACTGGGCTCTCAAGCTGCTCCTTAACAGTATTAGCAGCAACTCATGTGGAAGCGATACTGTTTAATGCAAAGCTGGAGTCTTAATCAACTTCAAAATGTTTCTTGGAGATCTTACATTTAACCCTTTACCTTGTGATCACTGTCTGCTATCTTTTAAAAAAATCTTTTCTTCTCTTTTCTTTATTATTTAGTACTTAAGGAATAACTTGAAACACACTGTTTGCAGACAAAGCCAAGGTCTTCACCTCAAACACATGTAAAAGGAATAAAAAAGTACATAATACAGCTTTGATAATAATGCAGTATAATTAAATCAACACTTGCAGCAAAACAAATGAAAGTAAGCTTTCAAAATTCAACAGCGCAGCTCAGTCTCCTATTGTGTAGCTTCTTAAAAATACATTCACCAAAATGCAAATTATAGGCACCAGTGTGAAACTTGGGTAGCCAGATAGAGACCTGTTTCTGTCAAATAATAGTAATAATAATAATAATAGAATAAGTCTTTTTTGCAGTTTAAGATATGCATAGGCAAAAATAGGTTAAGTTATTTCTTAAAAGGGTCTTACAACTTGGCTGTCAGTTCTTAATGGATCGCAAAGCAGTGCCATGAGTCTAATTAATGTCCTAATTTTTTTTTGAATTAATACTGCAGACTTCATAAATTCGTATAGATAATAAATATGACTTTAAAGAAATGCTTCAAGCACTTCAGTGTAGAGATGATTTTTAAAATGTATCAAACACCCCTAGAGACTGATTGGTGACAGGGACCTTCACAAGGAAGACCTGAATGAGTTCATTAATGTTACTTTGGCAAGTACTGTGAGGGTCTCTACTCTGCTGAAATAACACTGAACAAAAATCACTCCCTAGGTAAAACAACATTTCATAACATAGTGAAACATAGCATTTGATACATATTGTAGAATCTGCATAATTATATTTACCACTTCAAATAGATAATTGCTGACATTGTATTATTACCTTCTATAATGTTTTATAAACAGAGATATTGCTTGTATGATTAGGGTCTGCACCCATCCCTCAAAAAGGGGAGAAGTGTCACCGAGTTGATTGTTGTTTTGATGAAGTTCTCACGTCCTCCACTATTTGGATGTTACCAGCTTGAGTTCAGACATGTAAACACGTTCAGTTTTGACTTGGGATTTCAGCTTTTCTGACTGAAATTTGAGAATAGCTAAAGAGAAAAATAGTGCATCAAACATAAAAGGATGGTGTGATGAAGGGGTTTTACTCATACTAGATTAAATAATGTGAAGATGAGAGAGCAAATATTTTCTCCTTTTATAAAAGTGAGTTAGGTTTGGATTGCTCAGACCTCATGAGTGAATGAATCATAATTTTCTTTCCTATGTACTGTAAAATAGCATAATCGATTTTGCAAAAAAGTGAAACGTGTAGCTCCCATGTCAGTTCTTTAAAAAGCTATAGATCTTTTTCTCATTTGAAACTACTGCCTAATGCAGAAGAAATAGAAAAGAAGGGGGTGTTCCTGTCTAACTTAGCCTTCTTTATTGTAATGAATGTTGTAGTTCTATGACAGGAATCCTTTTTTAAAAAACATGTTCTCTTCTCTTAATGGACATTTTATGTGCCTAAAATATTTGCCTTACATACATATAAAGATGATTTTTATGCCTAAATGAAATGATTTCTCAAAAATAGATTTTGAGTTCATATTTTCTGAGTTTTTCAAATTGTATTTCTGTCACTTTAAAGTGATTATGCAGAGAATTCCCCTGGACTTGTATAAATCAAACTTACAAATTCTGAAAGGGCTTGGATAACTTGAAGTTTAGTTGTAAGGAGCTGTCACTTCAATAAATAGAGTATGATAAATTATAGTCTTGAGAATATGTAACTGTTAGATTATTACTTACATGAACTTTTCAGTCACAAATTTGAATGATTTTTGAAAGTTCAAAAAAATATGTTACTTTATGGATATTTTGTTACAAAGTATAGTAAAATTTCCTATGATGATGAAGTCATGAAGCTTTCTTTTGAGGCTCTCTGTCATATAATTGCCATAATATAGGAATTAAAATTTCTCAAACTGAAATGTCTCCTTAACCAATGTGGTCACTTGAAAATAACTTCTTGTTCTGCATCAGCATTGATTCAGACAATGTACCCAAATGGAAGATCTTTTTTTTTTAAGAAAAAAAAATTAATTTGATTCTTCATATTAATTTTTGTAGCTCAAAATCTAAGACAATAGGGTGTTTTCAGATAGGATTACCTATAATTTGTATAAAGTAGTTGGCTCTAGAAAATAAATTTATTTTCAAGTTGTTAGTAAATTGATTTTCAAAACTACTTCATATAATATTTATGACAGACTTGTACAAGTAAAGCCTAAAATGAGACAAAATTAACAACATTCATTTAATTGAAATTAGAATGTATTTGTGAATTGAATTATGTGTAGATCAAAAATTTTAAAAAAGCATCAATAGCAATGATTACAAGCAGGTAAAACAAAGTGCTGCCAAATTGGTTTTAGTGCATTGTATACACCCGGCCTGTAGTGGTTTCTTTGTGAGGATTCAGACAAATATGAATGTAGTAAATGCAACTTCTCATCCTGGTAATTTATGATGCAGTTTTTTAGGCATTTAAAATGTGTTAATACATATGTTTATAATTTTAAATTAATTTACTCTTAGGTATATAAACATGTACCTAATTCACTCGTAGATATGTAAATATGTCTGTAATGACTAGGGCGGCTAACATCTCAGAAAGTTAGAGATTTTTCAAATGCTCTGAACTGCCTCATACACATTTCATTTTATTGCAAATTAATTGCTTTGTGGAAGTTTAGAAATGAACTTCATTCAGTCCAATACAGCTCATTCATGACTTACAAGAAAGGGACAAAATTGTCTACTTTGCACCTCTGAATGCTGTTCTGTTATCAGCTTTATAAGGACTATTGTCTTAAGCAAAAGTAATCTATTCTTTTAAAGTTTATTTACCACTCAATATAGCAACCTTTTAAATCTTTGAGAGAGTTGAGTTATTCAGTTATGATGCTGTTTAGGGAATAAAAACCTTACATTCTTAACTTGTTTTCTTTCCATGAAAACCATTTTCAGAAGAAGAAAAATCCAACTTGTAGAATAAAATCATAAAACTTTTCTTAGTGGATTAGGATAATAGGACAACTAAAATGTGCCAAGCCCTTGTTTTGAGCCCTAGTACCTTCACAGTTACCATATGCAAAATTATACTGATCCATGAGTGCGTAAATCCAATACAGAAGCTTCAAAAAATATACAAATAGTAGGATACTTCCAGATGTGTGGAAATTTTTGTGGTAAGGTAATTTTTAGCAGATAATGATTGCTTAATTTTTAAATACGAGATTTTCTTAAGTTCTGATTTGGGCTTGCTGTGCATAAAGTGTGTCAAACTTCAGCTACAGACCAGGGGGTGAAGTCGGTCAATTTAATTCCCCAAGATCTAAAGAAGGTCGGTATCATTTCATACAGCCCTGGCAGAGCAGATCATTACCAGGCACAAATCTGTTCGTTACGTGCTGAGGGTTTATAGCAAAATAAATAGACTGTCATCATAAGTTCAGAAAATTGTGTGTTCGACCCACGATAATGTGTAAAGGGCGTTTAATAGAGTTCAGCATTTATTCGTTATCTGTATGCGGACAGAGACGGCAGTCCCGTTATCAGCTCAAAAAAAAAAAAAAAAAAATCGGTAGTTGTGGGGGGTCACATGATGCAGCGCGCGCACGGGCGCGCAGACCCTCACTCTCTCTGCAGTGTGGTTTTGATTTCAGTCACAGCAGAAGGCTTAACCACAAGAGATTCCACTGGTTCAAACCAGCGTAAACCAGATTTTTTCAGCCCACAAAGGAACAGATTACCTCTTGTATCAAATTCTACATTGAGGGGAAAAAAATCTTTGTTTCAGAAAAGATGTTGATTATCTTAACTCAACATTATAGCATAGCACACTTTCATGTCGCCTATGATGGAGCTAACAACTCGATAAAATAGAAATCACTACTTACAGTCTAGTGTAAGCATTGCTAATTTTCAAAAATGTACTATCTTTTGTTTACTCGAATGAATAATTCTTGGCCTAACTGAAAAAGGAAAAAAAAAAAAAAAAGATGAAGATTAAAAACCCTCCCATTACCTAGCTTAGCTACAAATCCAGTGTGGAGCTTGAATGCAGCCATGCAGCACAAACAAGATAGAACGTTTTTGTTTGGCACCTATTGAAAAAACAAATGGGTAGCATTTTTAAACACTCATTGATTATGGCAGGGTGGCATGCCCCAAATGGTCTCTATTGCTGAGGAGTAGTTTTAAACTTTGCCCCTTTAAGTATCATAGTCGACTGAAGAATGGTGCCCCCAGAAGAAAAGAGCTGTGCGATCAATTCCCAGATCGTCGTCTTCTGAGAATTAATGTTTGCCTTTTTCTCCCATGATGTTCCAGTAGCAAAGAGAAAGATTCCGATATGTGATAGGTCAGGTATTTTAGTTTAAAATTTTACTTCTTCTAGAGTAAGATTTGAGACTTGCCGTGTGAAACAAAGACATTTGACTCATCCAATCTCTATGGTTTTGGAGGGAATGAATGTGTTTAAAAATAATGACAATTTCTAGCTCTGTTTTGAAACTTTAAAAGTTTCATTTTTGTTACATGCATAGTAAGGTGTCACATAATAACCTATATTCTTTTCATAAAGGGTTCATAACAATTTTGAAATCTCACTCTTTTGTGCTGAAATACTTTTCATGTAATAATTGAAATTACAGAATAAGCTGGAATGCATACTGCCTGCCTTGAATTTGAAGCAAAAAACAGCATTAAGTATTGAGAATTCCACATTATGGAAGTAAACATGATGCTCTTAGAAAGATGTATAGTGAGCAATTCATAACACATTTCTCCCAAAGCAATAGTTTAATTTACTAGCCTCCATAGGTCAAGTGTTAAAACAGATGTTACAGCTATTGGGATGTTTAAAAATTATCAGTTGTAGAGCTGAATTGCTGAGGATGCAAATTTCAGATCTAGAATGTGGCTTAGAGTCTGTAGAACATAGGTTTCAATTTCTGTTTGTTGCAGAAATCTGGTAGTCATCTCAACTACAAAATTGTGGTTTAGAATATTGTCGAATACAAAAGGTGAAGCAAATATATGACTGTCATTTCCTTCTAAAGAGTTAAGCAACTTGATTTGTGTTATATTTAAGGCAAAGAGAAAAATGTTTTATAAAGGAAAATTAAAATATCACGGGAGATACAAATATGTGCAATAAGTACAGAGTGGTTATTGGTACTACTTTAGTGAAAATAGATTGCAGTACAGATTAACTAGAAGAGTTCATTGCTTTGAGATGGCTGGGTTTACAAGGTAAAGGCAATTGACAAGTGAAGAAACGTAACATTAAAATGAAAATATGTCATCTGATTGCAGTAGTCACAAAATAAAAACAAGCTAAACAAAAGTCTAGAAATTAACTCCAGTTTATACAGCATTTCTCGGAATAGTGAAGTATTTCCTGATACTACGTCCTGAATAGATATTATCTATACTAGCATTCTTCATTCTCAAGTTAAACAGTGTTACATCCTAAAGCAATCATATACCCATATAATAGTCATTGCTTTAAGTACTTATTGCAACCAGCACATTAACTATTAATCATTTTCATTTTCTGGTAAAATCTGAAATCAGTTGTCAAGTTTCCAGATAGAGAAACATCCTGAAAACTTGTACATACTAAACCTCTTCGGTGGTACATTCTTAGAAGAGAGGAACAGTAACCTTGTTTTCTTTCTTTATAATATAGACTTCTATGAAGTCGCTCCCCTTTATTTCATGATGGTGTCTTAGATGTACTTTAAAAGAGAATTTCACACTATTCTCTTTGTTTAATGTGACAGTGTGAGAAAGTGATCTTTATTCGTTCAAAAACTCTGCATGTAGTCTAGGTTTAGGTTCTTTTAATGTGTTTGTCTGTGATTTTTAAATGCTAAACATGTAAACAGATAAATTGTCAATGTTAATTCTGTATCCTGTCACACAACTGATCTTTCTTTCCTGCCATTTCTTTCCTTTTTATCTTTTTTTTTGTGCATTCATGTTGCAGTTGATAAAATTACGTGAAGAGGTGAGTACTTCCTAGCTTCCTTTTTATCCCTTTAATTCTACTTTTCCTCATAAAATTGAGTTTCTAAATCTGAAGTAGATATTTTATTTCTCCAGAAAAGTCTAACAAAGAAAAAAGTATGGACTTTATTGCTCTAAACTCTGCTGACCATCTTCTAAAGAACAACTATTTCTTAACCTCACTTATTACAAGGAGCATTGTTCTTTCTTGGCATTGGGGGAAAGTTAATACTTTAAAGACAAAAGAAAGAATGATACAGGATATCTTAAAATTATACTGAGTGTGGCTTTACCTTAGACTATAACTTCAATTTTGCTTTATTTTTGTTAGTTTCTTAAGGGAGCGAATAATGTTGAATTTTTTTCTTATATTCTGATTTCCTTTACCAAAACTTGTTCTTAAATAAACTTCTTTCTGTCCTTCAAAGTTTTTAAGTTCAACATAAGACACCATGAATTTATTGCCTGTGGAGGAAATACACATATGTTATAAATGCTCTGCTACTGTGTATACTTAGACACATAAGAACAACCAAAGCTCTCGTCATTGTTAAACACCATCCTTTCTGAAGGAAGTAGGCACCCAAGTGAGTTCTCATTTTATTAAGTTTACTAGGTAGTTTCATAAGGTAGGCCTGCTTTTGCTTTGAGGACCAGTAAATTTTTGCATCAATGTTAAGTGATTTTACCTTCCTATCAATGAAGGATGCTCAATTATTGGATTTTTTTCCCAATTAGGCCAAACATATCAAGTATGATTCCATATTCCATTTCGGAGACAGAGTAGTTATATTTTTTTGTCACAAGATTATTATTTTTCCATTAGGAAATAAAAAAGATGTGATATTAAAATTACCTAATTATCTAATTTCTTCCAATACCCAATAGTACTTTGAATTATTTTCAAGTTTAGAGTGACTATGTTGATTGTGATTTTCCTAGAAGTTTTTTAAATTGGTATGTTATCATTCTCTGGGTGATGCAGATATTAATTTAGGAGCTTGTAGATTAAGATTTTCCATACTTCTTCCACCTGAAAATGTATTGGTGCTATTCTGTTTTTCAAGTAATAATTGCATATACATGGAAGGAGAAAATATACACAAATAAGTTGTCTAAAATCTTTTTCTTTTTTGTGGCGTTTACTTTTTATGTTAGATTTGTATACTAAATATAATTTCAGTTTTAA